TGGAGATTTGCACCGGTGGGTGCGACGGGATTCGGGGCGGCAATCTATCAAATTCAAAGGTAACTCCATCAACTAACACCACCAAAATACTTCCCTTAACCTCAGGAACAAAGCCCAAGCAGTGTTGGAGGCGTCAGAGTTCGATTGGAAGCCGAATCAAAGCACACCCTTTTATAGGGTTTCGGTGGGTTTGAGTGAAATTGAAGTGTTTCCCGGCTAAATTGGACTTGGTCACAGGTATAAAGTTTGCTTTACTCTTTGAGATCTTCATTTCCATAATTTTTGGTAATTTTTAAAAATAGTTGAATTTTCCAACAAGTCGGGGCGGCCAACCGCCACTTGCGGCGGCGTGTGCGACAGCGGCCTGGCCGGTGGGCCGACGATGTCCTTTTAAGTTCAATTATATGCCATGGTTTCATAATTGATATCCTTGTGATATGGTTTGATTGTTTGAACTTAATTCCATTACGATACGTGGTTAGGTCAAAAATATGATTCGACGATCCGACCGTTGGATCATCACCAAACCTTAATGTGTGATAAAACATAATATTTTTGTATCATAGAAACTTACGGATCAAGAATCCGACGTACGGATCTTGCCTAATTGGATTTCTAAATTTGTAAAATTAAATGTCGATCGTCACTTGAATTTTGAAATTGGCGGAGATCCGACCGTCGGAGGCGGAGATCCGACCGTCAGATCGTGTTAAGATTTTAGTATGTTGTCATTTGAGCATAATGTGGACTTTGGAAATTTACGGATAGGAAATCCGAGGTGCAGATCTTCTGAATCAAATTACGTAAGTTTGTGGACCATACTGTTGATCGAGAGTTGTTTTTTGGTCAACATGTCATGAAGCGTCCTAATTACTAAAATTAGTACTATGAGAGACTTAAGTGAAGTCTAGTGGGACTACATTGGTTGGAGAGTGACTTGAATACTTGTGATATTGTTTATTATCTTAATTTCTTATATTGGTATTAATTGTGAATATGAATTGGTTTTTATAAATAGGATTTCTATTGACATATGATTTATATATATATAAATAGCCATAGACTTATGTTTATTAAACATGAATTGGCTTGTGTACGGGTGATGATTGTGATATATGTGCGTTTAATTATCTTTTAGTAATGTGAAAGGTAAGTCCGATAAATGTGGTGATAATGTGATCATATATTCCTATTAGAAGTGTTCAGTAGAATTTATATGATTGTGTGTCATATTAGTTGGTGGCCACGAGAAGTGAATGTGGTAAGTGACTACATTGTAATTATGGAGATGATGAGGTTTAGATATACCTGGTACATTTCGTAGGTACCATATGCTTGCTTGGATTCCGTTGAGTGATTGTCCGAAATCCCTTCTATTCTGTGATTCCATTGAGTGATGATCTGGAATCATATGCTTGCTTGGATTCCGTTGAGTGATGGTCCAGAATCCCTTCTATTCTGGATTCCGTTGAGTGATGATCCGGAATCCCTTCTATTCTATGATTCTGTTGAGTGATGGTTCGAAATTCCTTTTTACTTCATGATTCCGTTGAGTGATGGTCCAGAATCTTATCTTGGTTTGGATTCCGTTGAGTAATGGTCCGGAATCCCTCATACTCCGCGATTCCATTGAGTGATGGTCCGGAATCGTATTCCAATTTGGATTTCGTTGAGTGATGGTTCGGAATCCCCTTTGGTGTCTTGGTTCCGTTGAGAGGTCCGGAACCTGTTGATGATGGATTTTGTTGAATGGTTCAAAATCGTATCATTTGAGATAGTTTCAGAGATGTAAGCTTCGGCCGAACTGTGTCATTCTAGCCCTGCAGTTTGATGAATTGTATGTGTTATTTATGATATGGTGATTGGCATCATTGATTGATGTGACAATTGGATGGTGTTGGAATGCATATGTGTGGATGAGTTGATATGAATATGGATTAATATTGTGCCTTGTTAAATGCTCCTTGAGGTGCTACCTAATTGAATTGTGGTATTATGTTGAGATACAGTGGTTTATGTGATGAATGTTCGAGTGTAGCGAAATGATGAACTACGAATGGCTTGATCCCTAATAAGGGTACGCAGGCAATCTAACGAAGAGGTTAGATGCAGCCATAAAGTATACGGAAAAATGACTATGCGATTCGATTCTTGAGATGTGATTTGCCATATTCTGGAGATGGGGTATGTTGGAATACTGGTATTTGGTAACGTCACGTGTCGATCCTGGATGTATGTCGGGATCAATGCGTGACATGCACCCTAGATAGTCTCTTGCTATCAATTCCCTTATTCATAGAATAAAAGAAAAAATGTCAGTGAGGCATAGCACTTTGTCTAATCTCGTGCTAATCAGTTGGACTTTCTACTACAGAGTCAGTCCCATGATAATAGAATGATACCTGTTTAATATACTTCATTTGTATGATTACATGAGTTCTAAATTCCTTGCTTATCCTATGCATCATTGACCTTCTCATTGTTTGGATTTATACTTGACAGAATGTGGAGGATGGTTTTAGATGGAGGAACCAAAGCTGTTCTGCAATATCTCAAGGACTAATTGAAATGACTAGAAGATCAGAGACGAATACATACACGAGGGAAATTGCAAAAAATTACAGGTACGTAGGCTTTTTTTGGTTAGTACATGATCTCTTACCTTTGAGATTAATCAGTTTTAGATCATCTTACTTCCATTTCAAAATGGCAGTTACTAAACACAATAGGTTTCCCTTTCACTACCATTCATATGTAGTTTGATGTTCAACTCTTATTTCCATACTAAGGGTGCCAAGTTCTGAATGATGGAGAGTCACTAGGGCATGGGGGCGGCTAATCTGTACTACCGACCTTGAGATTAAGTTCTTTCCTTGGCGCTATGACTCCTTGCAATGACATTTGAAAAAAAAAACAACAAAATTGTTGTTTACACTCTTGGCGTTATGACTCCTTTGCATGAGATTGTGTACCTTTCTTGATACAGAGTTCAAGGCCCTTCTAGATCCCAACGAATGCAGTCACCCGTACTTGAAGTGGATTGACAATAAGAATGCATAAAATGTTTCACTGATTTTGTATTTTCAGTTTGTATGATTTTGTTACAATTAAGTATTCATTAAAAAGAAGGAAAGCAGGTGCAACCAAAATAATGTAGAAGTAGACCCCAAATCAATTCCACATTTGTGTCTCTTGAAATTAGCAAGAGTTGTGCCTAAGGATGGGCAACGGTTATGGCGGGCGGGTAACCCGCAGTTATTTATCCATAACCATTTGGCCTTACCCGCATAACTGTTTAGGATAATTGCATAAACGGTTATATCCATACTTATAACCGTTTATAAACCATCCATACTCATAACCGTTTACAAACAGTTACCCATACCCGTAATTGCGTACTCATTTAACCGTTTACCCATTTACCCGTTTTTAACCCGTTTACCGTTTTTACCCATCTACACGTTTGTTTTACTCATTTATAAGTACATTTAGCATGCACTTCCGTATTTGAATCTCTAAAGTTCTCATACCATTCCAACAATTGAAATTATAGAACGAATGATATTTGCAACTACATGCACCTTTACGCTTGGTCCAAGCAATTCAAGCATCTTATTAATAGCTGCAAGTTAACTATTTTTTTTTTTCCGTGAAACAATCCCCTTTAGCTTGCAAAGTTTAATTGCCCTTTCTTGTGAAGGTAAGTTGAAGGGAACTATATATGTGCCCTACAATTTGCACATTATACCTCACAACTTATTCGAATAAGATAGGAATGCCGTGAGTTTGTAGGGTATGCTGCAAGTTACTTAAGAAAAGTGAATTAGTAAGAAATAAAATGCTATTGGCTTATCGTGCAGTCTGGGCTGTAATAACCATGTTTAATGCCCTTATTCCAGTAAAGCTCTGAACAAGTTGTTTATACCATATTTAGGGTCTCGTATTTAGATTTTATACAAATACTCGGGGGACTTAAATGTAATTATGTGATAAAGGAATGGGCAAATATGTAATAAGTGATGAGTCCTTATTCTATAAAAGGACCCATCACCCTCACAATTAAGAGATGCCAATTCCTAGGCCCTCTCACCCCCTCTCACCCCCTCTCAAAGCTCTCACTTTCAGAGCTCTCTCTCCCTCAGATAAATACATAATCAGTGTGGACGTGGCCCAAACCTTGGGATGAACCATGATACATCTTGTGTTATTTACATTTTTTGCAGATTCACGGTCGGATTTACGTTGTTCCAAGACCTCCGGTTTTGTGCATCAACATTTGGCGCAGTTTGTGGGAATCGATACGAAAAGTTGTGTCGGTTCTCTTTCATTTTTTCACCTTCACCTTGAATCTGCAAAAACCAAAAACCCAGAAACAGAAAAAAACCAAATCTTTCTCTCTCTAAAATCACTTATTAAATAACCCATCAGCTCACTAAACCCACGAGCTCTTCAAAAGCTCATACACCCGCTACTCTCTCTCGGTTGGTATCTCCAGTTTCAGTTTTTAGATTCGGGTTCAGGTCGAATAAGTTTAGGTTGTTGAGGAAATAGATCCTCCACTAATCAACGAGTCTTCCTCCTTAGTAGCTAACCCAGCATCCTACAGCCTGGCAGAGATTTGGCCCTTTCAGCGGCCAGCCCGGTGACAATGATGGTTGGTTGGGGCTCTGAGTGGGTAACTTGGGTCAGAGTTTGGGTGCCTTGGAGATAGCTCTGTGAACAAAGATGGGTCGTTTGAGGAATTGACTGTGACTGAGCAAAGCGGCGGCGACGGTGGTAGAAGGAAGAGAAGGGATGTGAACTATGAGGATGAGTCTTTGAAGCGGGTTTTCCACTCGTAGAGTTCAGCTGCTGGCGACAACAAGCCAGCTCAAGAAAGCACTAAACCTTTCATTGCCACCAAAACCAGATTCATCCGAAGTAATCCAACCTTAAAATCTAAAACCTTTTTTTCTCTCTGTCTCTGTCTTTCTCTCTCTCTAGAGAGAGAAATAGACGACATGCCTAATATGTCTCCTCCGCCCAAGGGCGACCTGACGAACACAACTTATGGTACCATGATGATAAGCAGCGGCCTCACATGGGGTAAAGATGTCATCGTCCTCTTCCTCAAGTGGCCTGACAACAACCTCGGTATGTACGTCTTGGCTCTCTTCTTCACTTTCCTCCTCGTTGTCGCGATCGAGGTATTGTCCGTTTTGCCCAAACATAGACTGGCAACCAAACCCTACCTATCCCTCATCGGTCAAACCCGCGTCCACACCTTTCATACCGGTTTGGCTTACCTGGTCATGCTCCCTATCATGTCATTCAATATTGGAATCCTCATCGCCGCCGTGGCCGGCCATGCACTAGGTTTCTTCATCGTTAAGGAGTGTTTACGCTGGTTCGAAGGTTAAGCACCATAGAATGTTCCAAGGGCAGCGTGCTGACACTGGCTTTCGGTATGGAAATGTTGGGAGTGTCCCGCCATTTGTTGATTGGAGAAAGAATGGAGTTGTCACTCCCGTTAAGGATCAAGGCCATTGTGGTAGTTGCTGGACATTTTTAATTGTTGTAGCTGTTGCGGACGTCGATGCGGCGGTGGTGCTTTCTTTTGCGACGAGCAGCGTTGGGCTCAGATTGAGGATCCATTCGGCATTTTTCTAGTTCTTTGTCACTCCCATTAAGAAGATGCCCACTCTAAAAAAGATAAAGTTTCCTATTATTATTTTTATCGTGATTCCTTTTGTCTGTTAGGTGGAGAGACGTAAAGATAACTTCAGTGCCATCTACACTCTACAAAGCAAAAGCAAAAGTAAAGCAAAAAAGGAAAAGAGAAAAGAAGAAAAAGGGCAAAATTATAAGGTTCCTATTATTACGATTCCTTTTGTCTACCAGGTGAAGAGACAGAGAGAGTGCGACAGAAAGCAGAAAGCAAAAGCAAGGAATAAATACCTTACCAGAATAATGTGATTTACTTTTCTTGTTTCTGAATGGTATAAATTATTTTTCTTATCTTTCGGAAACATTTGTATAAGCCCCATCAGAGGGTTAAAAAAAAAAAAAAAAAAAAAGGCAAAGCCCAAAATAAATGGGTTGACATGTTGTGGAGGGCGAAGGCTTAGAAGCCCAAAACAGCTCCAACCAGGTAATCAAAAGTACGCCCAGTACTCCAAAATTATTCGGCAACCTGCCACTATTACCACCAACCAGGTGATGAAATGTACAACCCGTACTCTAATATCATTTGGCAACTAGCCATTCATACCACCAACCAGGTGATGAAATGTACGACCCGTACTCTCCTTCATGCCACCAACCATGTGATCAAAAGTACGCCCAGTACTCCAAATTATATATGAGCATTACTTATGTCGTTCATACATAAACATTCATGAGCATCACTCATGACAATCATACATAAACATTCATGACCATCATTCATGTCAACATTCATGAGCATCACTTATGTTAACATTCATGAGCATCACTCATGAAAACATCCATGAGCATCACTCATGTCAATCAATATAAACATTCATGAGCATCACTCATGTCAATCAGCTTCAAAAGCTTCATTTACAGAGCTCTAGCTTCAAAAGCTTCATTTGCAGAGCTCTAGCTTTAAAAAACTTCATTTACAAAAGCTCCAACTTCAAAAGCTTCATTTACAGATCTCTAGCTTCAAAAGCTTCATTTACAAAAGCTCCAGCTTCGAAAGCTTCATTTACAGAGCTCTAGCTTTAAAGTTTCACTTGCAAAGCTTCACCTACAAAGCTTCAGTGCAGGGTATACAAATACCGCCTCCGAACAACCGCCACTTCGGCCCATACATAGATTCAATTTGAAGTCTCCAGCCAACAGACTCTATTGACCGAAGACTTGGGGGACTACATTATGTACCATATATTGGGCCTCAACTAGGCCTCATAAAAAATACTTGGGGGACTTAGCCCATCACTTATGTATTGAGGAGCAAGCCTTTATTTTATAAAAGGGACTCCCTTACCACCATTAGAGAGCATCAATTCTAGCCCATCATTTATGTATTGAGGAGCGAGCCCTTATTTTATAAAAGGGACTCCCTCACCATCATTAGAGAGCATCGTCGCCAGCTGAGCAACTGCCTCGCCGCGAGCATCAACTCTAGCACATTATTCATGTATTGAGCCGTCTCACCGCGAGCATCAACTCTACCACATTATTCATGTATTGAGGAGCGAGCCCTTATTTTATAAAAGGGACTCCCTCACCATCATTAGAAGAGCATCGCCGCCAGCTGAGCAACCGCCTCGCCGCTAACATCAACTCTTAGCCCATTACTTATGTATTGAGGAGCGAGTCCTTATTCTATAAAAGGGACTCCTCACCTTCAATGCTACAAGCCGAGCCAACCAAGGCAACCTAAGCCACGAGCCTAGTAGCCTCGCATCATGTGCTACTTCTAGTTGAGCATCATTTTAGATTGAGCATGGCCTCATATCGAGCATCAGTTCAAAACAACATTTAGTTACTTCAGCCCACACATGGACTGAATTTCAAGTCTCAATCCAAAAGATTCTCTTGATCGAAGACTTGGAGGACTACTGTTTATACCATATTTAGGGCATCGTATTTAGATCTCGTACAAATACTCGGGGGACTTAAATGTAATTATGTGATAAAGGAAGGGGCAAATATGTAATAAGTGAAGAGTCCTTATTCTATAAAAGGACCCCTCACCCTCACAATTAGGAGAGGCCAATTCCTAGGCCCTCTCACCCCCTCTCAAAGCTCTCACTCTCAGAGCTCTTTCTCCCTCAGATAAATACATAATCAATGTGGACGTAGCCCAAACCTGGGGGTGAACCACGATACATCTTGTGTTATTTACATTTCATGCAAATTCACGGTCGGATTTACGTTGTTCCAAGACTTCCGGTTTTGTGCATCAACACAAGTCATTTGACTCCGTTGGAAGCAACACTCAACAGCATATCCATGAATCAGATTATGTTTTCTATCTAATCCTCTAAGTTTTATCAAATGATGTAATCTTTCGGGATCACACTAAGTATATTTGGATATAGGTCGATCCCACGAACATGTAGACGAAAACCGTTCGCAAATCGGAATTATAATGAAAGAGATATAAGCGAGCGAAGGCAAGGGTAAAATGTTCATTTGAACCAATACACGGTTAAACAGGTATCGTTTATAATCGTGAGTAATACCCATAATTATCAATTTAAATTTTACAGGTAAACGATTATACCCATAACCTTTTATTTGTTTAAAATATAACCTTACCGATAGCAGGAGTATTTTGTCCATCCATAGTTGTGCCTTATTGTGTGGAGACTTTTGCAGTATAATCCATATTTGTTATCTTTTGTCCCAAGCAGCTCGGGATATGTCACAGGTTGCGACGATGGAAAGCACATTGGGTGTCAAAGTTGAGTTAATCCAACTTAACAATTGTTGGTCTTGTCGCTGCCAAGTTACGTACTCGGGATTGAGAGTAGTAGTATTCTCAAGAAACTTGGTTGGACATGTTTTTGTACCATCAACATAGGCAACAAGATCATTACTTTTAAGTAAGGGATTAAACTGGGCAAGCCACAACATGTAATTGGTTCGATCAACCACCGGACTAAACGTCTCCATGTAATCAACACCCATCGTTTGATGAAATCCATTGGCGACAAGACGAGCTTTATATCGCTCCACTGTACCGTCAGATTTCCACTTTGTGCGATAGACCCACTTGCAAGGAAGAACATGAGTAGCAGTTGAAGAAGGTACCAACTCCCATGTACCAGCAGTTTTCAAGGCCTTAAACTCCAATGTCATTGCATCACGCCAATGAGATAATTGATTTGCCTCGCGAAACGAGAACTAGGGAACTTAGAATCCTTAATAGGAATAGAGGACATAATTTTTTTTAAAATTGCAGGAGATGGATGACCGAAACGCTGATGCCACATAAATGAAGAAGTTCGTTGTCCAAATAATGCCACGTTTTTTAAAGGAAACTTCGACAAAACCACACGAAACGGATACAATCCATTCTCACTCTTGCCGTGGAAAAGCGTCTTCCCCGTGGATAGATCCTTCACAAAAAAATCAGTAGGAGTGAACCACCGTAACCGATTTTCTCTCATCTTTCCTTCAATTTCGGCTACTCCTACTTTACCCTGGATATCCTCATTCCTAATCTTATCCTTTCTTGTGTGCCCACACATCCAACGAAGCATCCTCATCTCCGCTACACCCATTTTGTGTACGTGTTGATGCTTCACCACCCAACATTCTGTGCCATACAGCATTGCCAGCCTTATTGCCATCCTATAAAATTTTCCCTTGAGCTTCAGTGGCATACGGCGGTCACACAGCACGCCGGATGCACTCTTCCACTTCATCCATCCAGCTTGTATTCTATGGTTAAGATCTCCATCTAATTCTCCGTTCTTTTGCAAGATAGATCCTAGGTAACGAAAACGATCGCTCTTTGGTATTTCTTGATCTCCGATCCTCACCCCTAACTCGTTTTGGCTTCCATTTGCACTGAACTTGCACTCCATATATTCTGTCTTTGATCGTCTTAGGCGAAAACCTTTAGATTCCAACACTTCTCTCCAAAGGTTAAGCTTTGCATTTACCCCTTCCTGAGTTTCATCTATCAACACTATATCGTCTGCGAAAAGCATACACCAAGGAATATCATCTTGAATATGTCCTGTTAACTCATCCATTACCAACGCAAAAAGGTAAGGACTTAAGGATGAGCCTTGATGTAATCCTACAGTTATGGGAAAGCTTTCGGTTTGTCCTTCATGAGTTCTTACGGCAGTCTTTGCTCCTTCATACATATCCTTTATAGCTTGGATATATGCTACTCGTACTCCTTTCTTCTCTAAAATCCTCCAAAGAATGTCTCTTGGGACCCTATCATACGCTTTTTCTAAATCTATAAAGACCATGTGTAAATCCTTTTTCCCATCTCTATATCTTTCCATCAATCTTCGTAAGAGATAGATTGCCTCTATGGTTGAGCGCCCTGGCATGAACCCGAATTGGTTGTCCGAAACCCGTGTCTCTTGCCTCAATCTATGCTCAATGACTCTCTCCCAGAGCTTCATTGTATGACTCATTAGCTTAATACCCTTATAGTTCATGCAATTTTGTACGTCGCCCTTATTCTTGTAGATAGGCACCAAAGTGCTCGTTCGCCACTCATTTGGCATCTTCTTCGTTTTCAAAATCCTATTAAAAAGGTCAGTGAGCCATGTTATACCTGTCTCTCCCAAAACTTTCCACACTTCGATTGGTATATCGTCTGGGCCTACTGCTTTTCTATGCTTCATCTTCTTCAAAGCTACAACCACTTATTCCTTCCGGATTCGACGATAAAAAGAGTAGTTTCTACAGTGGCGAACGAGCACTTTGGTGCCTATCTACAAGAATAAGGGCGACGTACAAAATTGCATGAACTATAGGGGTATTAAGCTAATGAGTCATACAATGAAGCTCTGGGAGAGAGTCATTGAGCATAGATTGAGGCAAGAGACACGGGTTTCGGACAACCAATTCGGGTTCATGCCAGGGCGCTCAACCATGGAGGCAATCTATCTCTTACGAAGATTGATATCCCCGATAAGTCACAAATATGTACATATACATGAGTC